AGGAATCCATAATAATCTCAGGTCAAAGGGCTTAGTGACATACTTATATATAGAGCTGGAAATACAGGCGGCCTCGGCTCTTAAGGGCCTGAGTCCTAAAGCCTGGTTCTTCATTTTGAGCCTCATTTCTCAAACCTGACCTTTATGTGAAGGGCTTAGGGCCAAGCCAGCAAGCCCTTTTTCAAAAAATAACAAAATTAAAATTAAATTAAATATTATAAATTAATTAAAATATTTTAAAATTAAAAAAAAATTAAAATTCTTATAATTTTTTAGAAATTAAATAACATATTTAGAAGTCTAGTAATAAAATTTAAATTTTGGTTAAAAAATATTTTATTTTTTATAAATACACAAACATAATAATTATGAAAAAATAAAAAATATCATAAATTTTATACTATACATTGATATTTATTAAATTATATTAAATTAATTTTAGAATGAATTAAAATTAATAATAATATAATGCGTGTAGAATCAGGTGAGCAGGTCATTGGCTTCAAACACATGTTCCACCAAAAAAAAAATAACATAACAGGATTTGAAGGGCTGCTTGGGCCCGAGCCCTTTTTTGCAGGACTTATGAGGGCCAAGCCCTCAAGTACAATTACTTTAAAAAAATTATTTTTAAAGCCCGAACCCTGATTTAAATAGGACTTCTAAGCCTGGCTCTTATTCCTGACTCTAGTTATATGTGAAATAAGCTTATGACTTGTACCATGTAACTTTTTCATAATGGGTTGGTCCAGCATCTTGTATCATTTCAAGTGTCAATGACTTTAATTTATATTTTTATAATTAATCAAAATCAAACTAATGATCGATCAGAGACATTTAAGACAATCATTATAGTTTATTCAATAATATAGTCATCATGATGAATATGCAATTAATATAGTAATAAAAAAATTCATTAAATAATGTTCATAGTGTAATAATTGATCTTAGAATATAATTTTCAACATAAACATTATAGCCCAAGAGGAGCACATGCGTGCTAGGTTCATTTCTTCCTCTGCTCCATCAAGGGAAGGCATGAGGGAGCGGGCATGATGAGAAGGAAGGAACATGATGAAGAAAAGGACAATGCCCTTGCCATATCCCACACATTGCTCCCCCTCTCTTTATCACATCTCAATGTCAAACTCTCCTGCTCATTGCCTTTTCACTCTTTTCTAAATCTTTCAACAGTCTATATCCCCTCACTCCCTCTATCCCTTACATTCTTTAATTTCATCCTCCATTATCATTACAGCAATCAATCCTGCCCTTGCCGTCGCCATTAATGGAGGGAAGGGAAAGAATGGTGGTGCAAGGAAGACAATCGCGAGAAGAATTCATTCAAGACAAATGGATCATTTTGCTTGCAAACTAATTCACACATAAAATACCTAGACACTACAAAAAAATTTCACCATTTGGTGGGATTTGTTACTAGCTACATTTGTTGTGGGGGAGCTAGGTGTGATTTAAGAGAAAGGATTATTTAAAGAATAAAAACAGAAAACACGGGCAAAGAAGGGCAAAGAAAGGTAATTTCACATTATTCATAAACCATATAACTTCTTATAGCCTGATTCCTCTAATAATTTAGGTGAGAAACAATAATTTTATTTTATCCCCTATAAAAATTATATTTTGATTAATTTGATGATGATTCTCCAATAATTTATTATAAAATATTGAATGTTCAGTGATTAGTAAAATAATAAACATAAAAAATCAGTAATTTAATTTAATTATATATACACCACTGTTAAAATAAACCATATGCACTGAATGTCGGCCCATGTGAGCAGCGTCAAGATGATGTAAAAACTAAAAAGTGTCATTGAAGAATGAGGAGGGCCTGGCATGAATACAAGTTGCGTATTATCATGTATCAGGTGGCCGACGTGTAACAAGTATTAGCATTACATATAATAGCAGCGTCATAAAAAAATTATGAAAGATTATAAAACATTCAAAAAAATAGATTGAATTAAAAGTTATGATAATTCCAAAATCTACTGGCCAGCTGCATTCCAGCAATTTTCCTATGGCGGCTTAGATGTGGTCAATGATATTTGGAATTTATACCTGGGAGAGGAGAACCATAGATAAAGCCTATGGAAAGAACATATTCATGCCGACAAGAAAATTTACCTAAAAAAAAATTATCCAAAAAAAAAAGAAAAAGAAAATTTACAAAAAAAAAGTAAATGATAAAAAAAATTTAATTATCTACAATAAAAAATTCATTTATTTATACAGGTCCAAATGAATCAACTTAAGAATAGTTTTATTTTTTTTCACCTTTGAAAATAATTCCTTTTAGGCCTTTGGAAATATTATAATCTATTTGGCCAGGCTATATGTTCATTCAGTGGGCCTTATTTGTAATTATCCCTTTATACTTTATACATATATTTTTTTATCTTATTTATAAGTTATTTTCAATATTTTTATTAAAATTAAGAAAAATTTTAAACTTCATTAGCTCCATATAAAAATCCAACAAGGTTTTCACCTTATCCTTGGTAAATATACATATTTTAAAACAAAATAATCTGACATTTAATGACCTTTTTAATATTTAATAGGGACAAAAAGGTAAAAAGACATAACATAATCATTAAGGTATAAATAAAATTAAAATAAATAATCTATTTCTCTATCATATAAATTGGACTTGGAGAAGTTTTTTGATAAAATTATTTAGAATTTCATATTCAAAATATACAAAACATAAAATGTAGCCCATGAAGATGAAGGCCCTGTGGAATGTTAGCCCAATTAAAGGATTAGATGTTCGAACAATATCAAATATTTTTAATATTTTAATATGTAATAACTGTTTTTTTTAAAGTGCCTCTAATAAATAAATTATTTTATATTTATTTTAAAATAAAATATTATATTAAATAAAATATATATATATATATAAATAGTATTAGTTTGAGAATAAGTAAATACTTTATTTAGGTGAATTTTAGTTAAAAATACCTTACATTTTTTTATGAAAAGGAATACAAATTTTTTGGTATAATTTATTTTACTTGTTTGTATTATTAAAGTTTTAAATTTAAAGCAAATCTCTCACAAAAAATTTAAATTTAATTTTTCAAAAATTACCCAAATATTTTTTAAAAAATAAATCATATAATTTTTCTTTATTTTTGTAGAAATTACAAGTGTGTGTGTGTATTATTTTTAAAATTTACACTACTTCTCTTGGAGATAGACAATAATTTTTATAAACTTCCCTTAAATTTTACTGCAGTTAAATATGTTTTATTTTTAGTAGTTACTCATTTAATCTTATTTATAAGATACAGAGATAATATTTTTTTTCTTATATTTATTAGGCACATTAATGATTATTGTGTCTATTTTAACTCACCCTTATGTCCTTATTAAATGTTGAGAAGGTTATTAAAAATATTATAATATTTTATTTTTAAAATATGTGTATTTAATAAAAATAAAATTAAAAACTTGTTGAATTTTTATATAAAATTAATAAAGAGGTTTAAGACTTTCTTTGAGTTCAATAAAATGTGTTAAAATTGACTTATAAATATGACTAAATAGAATATTTTTATTTATGCATAATATTCTGAGCAATTAGTTTCTTTCCTGTTTATCAATTCAACACTATCCATTAAACACCAAGGTTAATTAAATTTCCCTTCCAATTTTATCGGAGGTCCTTGAGGGGACAAGCTTAATATATTAATTAAATATGCTCCATGGAGACAAGTTTAATATATTAAGTATTAACTAAGTATAATCGATTTGACTCAAGTTGGGGAAAAACAAAAGACTAAATTAATTAAGGCATAATGCGACTTTGAATACCAAGACGCTTAATCTGGAAGACAATACGTTAGAATAGATATTATAAAGAAGGAGCACTTCTCATGAATTAATGACACCTGTGTTTGCTTTAAGGAGGGAACACCACTAATCAATAACAATACTTGGTGTTTGTTTCATTTTAATTGGTCCATGTCGTTGAGATATCTCGTATCTGTATGAACTAAGAATGCTGAAGACAAAATCTGAAAGAAAACAAATACTTAAGCTATTTTAAATCAAACACATAAAAACATCACCTTAAAAATAAATTAGCATGTGGGACGGATTTCCAATTTGACTGACCAACACAACACGTGGAACAAAAAACGAAAAGAATATCCAACGGTCAACAAAGCAGTAACCATTGAATTGGACCTCATTGCTTCAAGTCAGTCACCATAAAGATCAACACATTTACACTTGTCATGTTTCAACTCGTTGTTAGGGTAAACATAGGCGAGTTTTCTTCAAACTTCACTTAAACAAGTTCCATTTGTATTGTACCTATAAAGCCTAAAGTTGACATGGTACTTTTAAACCATCGCCCATTAGTTTACAGTTAAATAATTTAATAGGATTAGTTAATATAAACACGCCAATCCAGAAGGCTTGTAGATCAGGTTGTAAAGTTTAGACATGGCCTATTTACTAATCGAGTAGGCTAGGATTAATTTAAGCATGGAAGGTTTATAAAGATTAATTTTTGATAAAGATCAATAACATGACGTCAAATATTATTTATTAAAAAAGTCTTTAATAATTTGACTTAAAAATTATGAATTTTTCTTATTTTACTTCATATTGTATCTATTTAAAACGCATATTCTCACCACATGTTATATTTTACTTGTACTTAATTACTATTATTGATTATAGTTAAACATTTCCACTACGTATTAGACAATATAATATAAAAAATGTGTCTATCATGAGTTATTTTCACGGAAAAGATTTTCTTGCAAACATTTGTCATAAATAATCAATGTCACATATTTAGAAACGGTGACGGATGATGCAGAAGTTCTTTACTAGTCTACTAATCAGGTCAACTCTAAATTATGCTAGAATAGAATATAGGCCATCTGACATACTCCTAACCTATTTCCATTTCTAATTATTCTACACAAGTGAAAAGCTTTTCATTTAAATAATTTTTTAAGGAAATCAGCAACATCACCCATACCAATATCAATATCCAACGTAAAAAAGTACAGATAGCAGCACTGCTTATAATTTGTTTTCCTCTTGAACATTTGCTTTTTTTTTTTTTTTTGAATTAGAGAGGCAGCTACTAATGATCTGAAATTATAAGAGGAATGGGACCCACAACCTCCCACTGACCCACTTGAACATTGAGATATTGATCATGTACATTTGTGTTAGACAAATTAGTAGTTCTCCTCCCTCTCTTTGCTGAAACATATCTGTTTATAATTGAAACACCATCTCTTCTTATCAGGTACTTTGAGATGTGATAATGTCAGTTTCTGACTTATTGCACTCTTTATGCATTCAACCTTCACAATACACAACAATTTTTACATTAACAAGGTTTCTCATCTTAATACACTCCTGTATTTACTCTGTCTCAAACTCTCACTCCCAACTTAAGTTACAATCTTGATTTTGCACCATAGAAAACTTGTCAAAATTTTGAAGCTTGAGTTTATGATCTCCCTGGTGCTTTATAATGTTAAGCTTATTGATTTATAGACAGAGAAAAGAGATATGCCTAGGCATGAAAAAGATGGCCATCAATACTGTACAAACCGTATCTGCTATGGCAGCATTTAGCAAAAGCATAAAAATGTATTAATCGAATACTGATTAAACCCTTTGGAGATATCAGTAACTGTATTCACCTGTATTAATCGATTGCACATTAAAAACTTGCTTTTCAGAGGCACCCGTTTCAGAGGTCAATATCACTAATTGAAATGATAAGCCACAGACACTTCCAGATTATAATCTCAACATAATTGGTAATTCACAAAGCAAACGAAGGCAAATTCTCATGAACCAAGTTCCTCACCTTAACCTTCAAAGCCCCACTGATTTTCTGCACATTCTCAGCAATCCCAAGCAGTTGATCTTCCTCCATCTTAGTTGCTGAAGAAACCAAGACAACCTGCGTGCCACAAAGCTCATCATAAATCCTCTCGAATTCTTCCAACACTTGCTTCACAATCCCAATCTTGTTCTTCTTAAGCAGCATCTTCACCAAGACCACCAGATGCCGATGGAACCCCCCCTGCTCCACCAATGCCCTCACCATAGCTGGCTCTTGAAAGTTCACATCTTTCAGAAACCCCATGAGCCTCTGAACATCCCTCTGAACCACGTGAAGAGAATTGCTGCTTTGAGCTATGTCTATGACTGCTGCAGCATACCCAGTAGCAGGTTGGCGATAGACGATTGGATTTTGAGAAGATGGGGTGCGAGAAGAGGAAGAAAAGACCAGAGAAGGAAAACCCTTGTGAGATAAAGGCTTGGTTTTGGAGGTTAAGTTAGGTTTGGAAGAGGAGGAAACATGGGCGTGGGATTGTGGAGGGAGGTTAGGTGATGAACAAGGAGTGGTTTTGAAGTGACAGAAGTCACGATGAGTTGAAGGAAGGGAAGGGATTTTGAGGGTTGAAACAGAGCTTGAGAAAGTATCCATGAGGGGAGGGAGAGAGAGGGGTAGACGATTTTGGGGTTTGGATTGTTGCGGAAGAAGAAATTCATACTCGAGGGGATAAGTTTTGGCCACGAAGTCTGATGTTGGTGGGGGTTTAATTGACAGCAACCATTTTCCGTGAATCGATTTTTGTCTGTTTAACGTGAAATTCAAGATGGAGGCCAGGAGTTTCATCAGTCGCGAGTTCACCTAACTTCATCAATTTTTTTTTTAAATAAAAATAATTTGTATTATTTAATGGACAAAAAATTATCACATCCCTCTAAAATTATCCTTCAATTAAAATTAATTTTTAATTATCTTTAATTTATTTCTATATAATATCTCTCTATTGTATTATTAATAAAAATATTTATTAAATAAAGAATTTAATATTATTGACATTTTATAAAATATCCTATATTTCAAATTTACACTAGCTGACAAAAAATGTGTTATATTTTGAAGTAGGGTAGCGCATAAAAAAAATATATATGTACCCTTATTCATTAGGCTCTTCTCCCCTTTTTCATTAAATAGAAAAAAATTCATAACATAAAAAAATATTAGAAAAATGTAATGTTTCAATTTTTTGCTAACAGTAATTTTTCCATACTAATTCCCTATTAACCTGAGTGAGAATTTTAAAATCAGTTTTTTAATGTTTAAAATTAGAGGGTCTTTTTTTTTTTTTTTTCCTGGTATGTTGCCATCGAGTTGGTGGGTGGATGGTTTTTGTTTTGGGGAAAGAGAGAAGGGGGCCAGGGGAAGACCCGGTCATTGGATAGCTAGTAATTTTGGGCCTGAGTCATACTAAAGTCCAACAAACAAGAAAAGCTTACACCAACCTGAAGGCCCATAATTCTGACCTAAATATAGGCCCATAAATGTTTTGGATTTTCTTTCTTTCTTTGGTTGAGATTCCCCATTGTCCACATCACAGTCCACACTTTCCATTGGCTACGAGGTTGCTCAATAATGAAATTGCAGTGTTAGCTCAATCCTTGACCTTGTAGCTGGTGACTACAACCGGGTAGTCTTAGAAATAAATTATGATCTGCTTAATATTTATACTTAGTTCACAAAATTGATTCAAGTTTATCCAAAGCTCAGCCCAAAAGATCTGACATGTTCAATTTTAAGAACTAGATACATGTTCCATGTACTCTAAAAGATTTAGGAAATGAAATATATTGAATATCCATGGTTTATAAATATTACCAATTGTGTGATTTTTTGATTTTATAAGTGATGTATATGGGAAGCAGTTTCAATTCCTTCATTAAATGTTCTTCCTCACAAATTCTTTGGCTGTAGTAGCTTCCTATTTTTAAGAAGAAGTCAATGGACAGATATATTGGGGAATCTGTGACAATGACTAAGGAAGCTCTGCAGGCCGCAGATGCCTCAACTTTGAGAGCAAGTGAAAGATGTTCGTTACCAGGCTGCGTAAGTTTTCCTTGTTCATCCTTACTATGTGTGTCTAGTTTTATCACTAGCCTTTTCCCAAAAAAAAAAAAAAAAACCTTTACTATGTGTATTTTAATTTTTTTTGGATAAATGTAATGATTTGTTGGAGGATGATGTGATTGCCTGAGAGCCTTTGTGCATCGACGAGCCTCTGTAGAAGTAGCATCAACTTAACCAATAATTTTGAATTTGATATTTGAGTAATCTTTTACTTCACAATCCATGATAAAGGTAACTACTTAAAAATTTAAAAAAATATAGTTAAAATTTTTATTTTTTGAAAAAAATTATATATCTTTTTAATTATATTTTTATTAAATATTACATATATGTGTTTTAAATCTTTTTTAAGGAATAATAATGAAACAAGGGTATAATATTTTATACATATATATATCACCCAATATTATATATTTTAAAAAATAAAATGTCATATATTATAGGCCAAACGAGTTTATTGAGATTTGACTTGACTTGGACTCAATTAATCAAAATTTAATGAAACAACAAATACTGGATGGACGGATGCAAATGCGCATTAAAAGGGTTAAAAAAAAAAAGGAAGAATGATAAAGAAATTTTAAAAAATTTAATTAATTTAAATTTAGTTTCAAGTATCAAATCTAAAAAATTTATAATGTATAACTGTATTATGATAAATTTATAACTTATTTTTTAAATTTTTATATAATTAAAGAATAAAAAAATTATTTTTTTTAATTAAAAATTAAAATATAAGTTACAAATTTATTATAATAAAATTATAAAATTATAAAATTTAGTTAAAAAATTTTAAAATTTGACACTAAATTTAATTTAAATTAATTCATCTTTTTGAGAGACACCTCAATATTCTCCAATCAACTTTTAGATTAAAAAGGAATCTATGAATAGTTCAACGAGTCATGAGATATCTGAATCAATCAATAATAAGATGTCAATCAATTAAGATTCTTTCACTTGAGAGATCTTATTACCCTCGTCCCTAAAAAAAAAAAAAAATGCTATTATTAAATATTAATACTCAAGCCGAAAAATTTCAGTTTTCTCAAATATAAATTAAAACATTTCACTTTTCTATATATTACTTATATCTTTTTTCTAAAAAAAGGTTAGTCTTTTAATTATTATTATTTAAAATAATATTTCGAATTGTTTAAACTAAATACAAAATATCATTCTTTATTAAATTATTTACAATTCATTTGAATCAATGAAATTCGAATTGAGGCCATACTTGTCTAAGTTTAAAAAAAATTAAAATTTATATCCTTTTAGATCACACGTATGAAAAAAAGCTAATAATTATGTTGATTGGTTGCTAAAGTTGGTAATATGAGGCGAATTTGTAAGCTCAACCTATCATCTTACAAAAAAATGTAGGTTGAGTTTAAAAAAATGGGTTCACATATAACTTGAATCCGCAACGGCCTAACCTTGCAAGTTGGCGGGTATTTAAAATAAAAGATAAAGAAATCACATGATCATTCTCTCAACTCTCATCATTATTCAAATTATTAAAATAATTCAAATTACATGCATATTACCTACTACCGTTATTACCTATCACATTTAATTAGCTAAGAAAACTATAAATCCAAGACAAGTTGAGTGCATTGGTGTAGCATGCATCTGACCAAAATTTTTTTCACAATATAATTTGAGTAAAATATTTTTAAATAGGCACAAGCAATATATTTATCTATTTTTGCAATAGTGCTCTTTTGAGTGGTATATAAATCATTTTTAACTTTAGAGTCGTTTAAAATGATTTATATATCAACATTCATATTCTCTTCAATGACTTTTGAATTACGAGTTACTAGGCTATCAAGCTGTAACCAAATTTTAATTTATTTTTTCTTGTATTGTCTTTATTAATAAATTTTTTACTTCAATAAACTTAGAATTCCTCAGCTAACAAAAAAAAAAAAGTTAGCCTGTGAGCATTTTACTCAAATTAATATTAAATTTAATTTCACTTTCTAGACTTTTACATGTTAATTATATTTTCATATTTAATTGTATAATGCTAATAATTAATGATAGATAAAGCTTCTAACATCATAATAAACTTATAATTTAAAAACTAAAAAAACGTATATAAAAAATATTTTGGTATTGAGGGGTTAGTGTGGGTTGGTACTTGGTAAAAATATAACCCGCATAAAATACAAGTTATATCAATCTGCTTTACCAAACTTACAACTAGTTACAAGCTAGTCCTCCAATTGACCCGTATTATCAATTTTATTGGCTGCTGCACTAAATTTCCAATGTCAGTTTGATGTTAAGATTTTTTATGAGCCATCACTTGCATGCAAAAACTTTTGAGAAAATTTCATTAAACCCCTTTTGACCAAATTTATTCTCAATCAATCCATTGAAATTGTAAAATATCAATTTAGTTCTTGTAAGTCTCATTTGGGCTAAATTGAAATCAAGTTTTTGGGAGAAATGACATAAATAATGTAAATCCTCTCGAATAAAAATAACTGATATATAAAAAAAATAAATAAATGATATAGAAACAAATTACAATTTTTATTAATAGTATAACACCACTATGAATAAAAACAAACAAAGTTAGGCACATGAATAACTTATGTAGAGAAAATGAACAACTAACATATAGAAAATGAACAAATGATATAGATAAAATTTGCAATTCTCATCACTATCATAATATCACTATGAATATAAACAAATAAAACTAAATGCATAAATAACTAGTATAGAAAAAATAAATAGTTAATATATGTAAAATTTGTAACTATCATTAACAACATAATACCATCATGGATATAAATAAGTGAAATTAAATGCATAAATAATTCGTATGAGAAAATGAACAAGCATTACATGAAAAATAAATAACTAACACAGGGAATTGGGTTATTTGTATCATTTCTCAAAAAAATTTGATTTCAATTTTGCCCAAATGAAACTCATACGATTTGAAATGATATTTTAGAATTTTAGAGCTTGAATGAAAATAAATTTGGTGGAGGGGTTTAACAAAATTTTCCCAACACTTTTTGTATTAGAACATAACTTAGTTTATCACTCACCTGCAAGGATTTCTCCGTAGTCTTTTATTAAATTTCTTTCTTAAAAAAAAAAAAAAAAAAACTGTGATGGGAGATGACTCATTCAGGCCTTTCGGTCAACGAATGGTTTGCCTTTTGGGTGGGGGGTGGGGGTAGCAGGGACGAAGAAGCTGGATCTTGTTGTGGACGTGGGCCTTCAACAAAGGTACACCAATTCTGTCGGTGCCAAAAACAAAAAAACAAATAAATAAAGCTGTTCTATTGAATTTATTTGATTTAGATGCTCCATATTTAGTCGATAAATATATTCAATAATAAATAATAATATACAAAAAGTGAGTAAATAAATTAACTAATTAACATTTCACATATAAGGTTACGTGTTTTGCCAATTTATTCATTGAGTGCACTATTTATTAGTGTACAGAATGAAAATTCAACTTCAAAGGAAAGGAGTTGACCAGTATTTCTAAGAATGTTTTTTCTTCTTTAATCGAATTTGATGGTCATTTCAATGACCGTGGATAACCCAAATTAATTGAAATCTGATCATCTCTTTAACACGATAGCAGGAGGGCCCATATTCTGTTCATGCTAGAGATGGACTCTTTATTTCCACTTTATTCCTCTTTGAAATTAAGTAAATAGATAGGACATCTGAAACAATTAAAAGTATACTTGAAACTCATCTGGATGTGTTTGATTATCAATTTTTGCCCATGCATATGTAGCAAATTCTCACACCGATGGCAGAATTTGAGTCCACAATCTTTGTATATTATGAATCAAATTTTTAGCAATTAGACTACTTTCATTGGCGGTCAGTGTCCCTTACCCTTACAATTAAATACTCATAATATCATGCCTGGCTCGCTATGTCTTGGAATTTATGACATTCTGTTCTTCATTGAGGCACGGATAGGCAAGGACCGCGTTTTATTGTTGGAGTGGAAGCGGTAAAAATGAAGTTGTTTGAGTCTCTGAACTTATGTTTATGAGGTAATTTTAGCACCATGTCAGATTAAAACAGGTTAAATATCATCATCCCATTCAGAAATCCCATTATTTCTATCTACCACAGCATGATCATGAGTGAAGGACTTTTGTATATATAAAAATAAATATGCAAAAAACAAAAATGTAACTATGTGTAAGGTTGGTATATCCTGTTTACTGGAGTGTTCAAATACACACAGAGACAGAGACAGTTTATGGAAGGAAAAAATTATTTTCATACACAGTTAAATGATTCTGTCCCATTCTCTCTCTCTCTCTCTCCCTCTCTCTCTGGTTTTTTTTTTTTTTGGTAAAAAGGAATATTCATTCAATCAGAATAAAAATTGCAGAAAGGTAATTATATTGTGTCATTCTTTTTTACAATGCATGAATGTACTACAATGGAGGATTCATTTCTTTTTTTTCTGTTTAACTTCTTCTCTCTCTCTCTATTTTTTTGGTGTCATTTTAATGACTGTTTGAATCAATTTTTGAAGCCTTAGTGAACCTCTTTACAATAACACGGGCTTTCAGCTTGGAAACCAGAAACGGCTAAGAAGACGCAGACAACATTATACCTAAGGAACATAGTTAATAAATCCTGGTCACCATCATGAGTTGTTTCAACATCCCTTTTGCTTCAATGATGCAATCGGTAGAAAAAATCCATTTGAAACAGACGAATCAATGATAATAGTAGCATTAAAAAAAAAAAAAAGAGGGACGAGTGAGATTGAGAACTTTAAAAAAAGAAAAGCAATGAACCCATGGATTACGGCAGAAATTGGGAACGAACTGATGTGAACTATATAGACAATTTCCAAATCTTCCACCACCCAATGACGTAATTTCAAATCCCATTAAGGAATTAACTTTAAGCAAACCATCATATGTCATTTCATAAAGAGATTACATTATACTTTATACTGCCAAATTAGATTATACTGCTTTTGTTTTTAAAAATTATAATAGACTTGTCCTTAATTTACTTTTCACATAGACAATAATTTTTATATAACGTGCACAATGTCATCTACTAATTTATGAAGAAGTGTTGGGAATATTTTATATTCGTATTAAATACACATCTACTTCAGGCATTTTGGTGTAATAAATGGCAATGTTGATGCAAGTGATGTTCATAGTAAATGATAATGTGCGTATCAGTGGGAATGGAGCCCTGCATGCCATGCCTCAACTAAAATATCCTCAGAGTACAATAATTCCCCGATAATAGTGACAAAATAATCTGTCTGTGTTGTAATGCATGGTACCCATAATTTGGTAAAGCAATAAAAGTGAGACGAGGACTGTGACGCATTTCCTTGCCTATTTCTTTTGCCACCAGTAACTCAACATTCAGTCTGGCTTCTCTGTCTCCCAACATCTCGTCTTTTTCCCAACTTCTTCCCTCTTCCCCTCCACTAGCTCCCAACTGACCCCCTCACCGCCAAAATCCTTCTTGGACCAAACTTGTGTCTTTCTGCAGGGAAAGAGATTAAGCTGAGACCAAGATTTGAGCCTCTAGTTCGTCCGAGGAAAGGAAAAGCAGAGGCTCTTTGTTTTCCATTTTCTTCGCCATCAAATTTTTTGCTGGTTTCAGGAAGAGGAAGATGAATCAGGAAATGAATGGGGTTGATGTCGAAAGGTTTCAAGAGAATGGGCATGAGAAAATAGATTACGTGTTTAAGGTGGTAGTGATAGGGGACTCTGCTGTGGGCAAGACCCAAATTCTCTCAAGGTTTGCAAAGAATGAGTTCTGCTTTGACTCAAAGTCCACCATTGGTGTGGAGTTTCAGACTAGGACTGCCACCATCAATGGCAAAGTCATCAAAGCTCAGATCTGGGACACTGCAGGCCAGGAAAGGTTCAACTCTCTTCTCTCTCAATCTCTCTTGACCCTGAGTTTTCCATATAGTACCAACTAGATTATTATTATTATTATTATTATTATTATTATAATCAAACAATTTATACCAAATTGACCTTGGATTTTTAGAGGCCATTCTATCAAAATCATACATGCTGTGAACTCAACTCCTAGTATTTGAATTTTGAAATTTTCCTTCCCCAGGGCTACATTGTAACAGTACCAAGTAGACGATTATTGTATTAAAGCAATGTAATGCCAGGTTGGCCTTAGACATCCTAGGCATTTTATCAAGCACAAGTTGTTGATAGATTAGTATTGAAATCTCCCTTCCCCATACTTACTTTGGCTTTCTACCAGCCCCCAATAAGAACTCTGTACATCCCTGCAAGAGATTTATCCACACAGATCATGCCCAGTTCTGGAAACCACATTTGACAAGCTATACAGATAAACTACTATGGAAAACTTCAGCTGAGTAGGTAGGATCTCGTATCAAATGTAATTGCAAATTTTCCTGGTGATAATATTAATAGGTACAGGGCAGTGACAAGTGCATACTACAGAGGAGCATTAGGGGCAATGCTGGTGTACGACATAACCAAACGGCAGTCGTTTGATCACGTAGCGAGGTGGGTAGAGGAGTTACGAGCACACGCGGATAACTCCATAGCGATAATGCTAACAGGGAACAAAGCTGACCTGGTGGATCTGAGGGCGGTGTCGATGGAGGACGCGGTGGAGTTCGCGGAGGATCAGGGCCTCTTCTTCTCGGAAACTTCGGCTCTCAGTGGGGAGAACGTAGAATCTGCGTTCTTCAAATTGCTGGAAGAGATCCACAGGGTTGTGTCCAAGAAAGCACTGGAATGTACAAATGGGAACGCCAATCATGGTGATCATTGTGCAGCCACGCTTAAAGGATCCAGGATTGATGTGATCTCGGGTCCTGAATTGGAAATTAGCGAGATGAAGAAGTTATCTTCCTGTTCCTGTTGATGGGCAGTGAAGAACTTTATATGTATTTTTCCCCCTCGAAATTCGGCTGTGTGGCTATCAACCTCGTGAGTGTACTCTACTTTTCATCTGAGGCATTGCTCTCCATACTCACAATTTAAGAGCACTTGCTCTCTTAAGCAAATATGACATTAGTTCGAGACAGAAATAGAGTTAATTAATGAATATTCAATCATTCAATCTCTGATTAACGAACAACTATATTGTCTACAATGAAGCAAATTTGCACGGCTCGGATTGCTGGTGAAATACTTAAAATGTTCCTACGAAAAGAAGCCGAGGGAGTATAACTTTTGCGTTAGATTCATTTTCGATACACTGCCTTTCTCCCAAACCCTGAACACAGACAAGTATATCATAATTTCAATCACAGCCTTTTTTTGATAGAAGGAGATATATCAATCGAAAAGATATGGTCCACATGGCCATGAATCATTAGGAAAATGACCACGAGTGAAAATTGAGATGAAAATACAAGAAAAATAACAGTCATAAAAGAAAATATCTTGTTCAACTGGGTTGCGAGGGAAGCTCTTGTTAAAATTGGTAGGATTGAAAGGCTTCTTTTCTTGACATGGGATGAAAAGGTTAACGAGAGTCATAATTCTTTTATAAAAATCCATGTCATTTTGATAGGCTTTTCAGTTGGGCCAACACCAGGAGGAGGAACTGGACCCAAATTCATGCGCGGAATGCAATCGGTAACAAAATAGGCCGTTGGGAGTAGGCCCATGTGATCATGTGCATGTACTATGGATTCATGTAATTGAAAAATTGCCTTTGTGAGGAATGAGATGTTTTTTTTTTAATAAAAGGCCACGGAGAATCGTGTAAGAGATTAATATCTAGTCATGTCTATAGTCATGTAATTGAATAATTGCCTTTGTGGGGAATGGGGATTTTTTTTAATAAAAGGCCATGGAGAACCATGTAAGAGATTAATATCTAATCATGTCTATAGTCATGAGGCTAATACAATTGGGGGATGGGTTATTAAAGATGCAATATCAAAATGATGATAAGGCATCTTATGAGCAAGAAGATTAGCGCACTGGTTGGCTTCTCTATAGCTATGGTCAAAAGTAATCATTTAATCTTTCATAATGAGATCCTTAATATTTTTTATGATTATGGAGAGAGGATGGTTATTGTAAAAGGTATTATTAATAAGCGATAAAGCCTCCTCCAAATTTGAGTATACGTTGATTTTAGAGAGCTTCTCACCCTATCTTAGATTAATTGATTATCTTTGTACAAGTGAAGTCAATGTTGATTTCCATAATATCATCTTTAGAGTAAATCTTCCTGCATCTAGTTTTTCAAATATTACAACCTACTTTGGTAAAAAGTCTCTGCTAAGGAATTCTTCTTGTAATCAAATTGCTGTTTCATTCTTCGTGTTCTAAGTTATTCAATCCTGCACATTAAGAAAAAAAGGTATTAAGTTTTGTAGGAATTACTAAACTTTTTCATACCTCTTTAGCTTTCTTGCAATCACGCAAAATATGAATAGAAGATTAATGAGTTACAACCCATGGGGCAAGAATGTTGTTGCAGAGCATTTCCATTAGTATTCTTGTAGTTTGTTTAGAGACGATCCCAAGCACCTTCTAGAGGAAATATTTAATTTTTTATAGGTGAGCTATCTCAAGATCTTAGACCAGACATCAAAGTGATTTTGATCCTTTCTAGACTCCATAACTTTTATGCAGATTTAATAGAGAAGTTACCATCAGAAGAGGATCTCCAAAAAAGAACATCATCATTAACCTGATAGTCTGTGGGTTGCATAAGTGCCATCTCTCTAATGATATCAGAATTGAGATAGCATTTTAAAATATCCATATTCCAACCGCAAGAGGTATTGCAAAAATCCAAGGCTCTTGTATGGAGAATAGAGTTAGCATTATGAAAAGCATATCTAATAAGAGGATCAAGAAGGGGGGACCACTTATCATACCAGAATGATATATAGTAACCTCTACTACTTTCTAACCAATATGAGACATAAACTTACCCAAACTTTAGATGTGCTGCTCTGGGTGTAAAAGTAAGAATTAGGTTTAACAACCATAAGGATAATAGATTTATTACACTTGTATTTGTTGTGTAACACTCGCACCCAGAGACAATTAGGTTTAGTGATTTGGCCCCAATAAAGTTTCATGATAAAGGACATGTTATAATACTTAAGTTTCTTAATGCCAAGACCTCCATCTTTTTTATCAGAGGTAATGCAATCCTAAGATAGAAGATGGAGTTTTTGTCCCCATTTGAAGAATCCTAAAAGAAAGTTTTGGAAATATTTTTCAAATCAGCCAAATGTTGTATAGTAAAAGCATAGGTTGCATTGTACAACTAGGAAGAGTAGAGAGAACATATTTGATAAGCAAAAATTTTCCCACAATATTAAGATAACTTTTCCAGTTAGCTAAGCAACAGTTTGTCTTTTCAAGCAGAGGAGTAAAGATGAGCTTAAAAGCCTTTTCATGAATTAGGGGGATTTTACGGTATTTCTTAAGATTTTCGGTAATGGGGATACCCAACTCCTTGTTGATGTGAGAAGCTATGTTGATATTTACATTTTTAGAACATAAAGGTTTAGATTTTTTAGTATTGATTTTCTGTCCTAAGGCACTATAAAAGTAAAAAAAAATTGTTGGATGATCATTGCTTAGGATAAAGATAGTTTTGCAAAAAGCAACAAATCATCAGCAAAAAAAGTGAGATATAAGAGGGCCATTAAGAGTTAACCTAATAGGTTTCCCTTTATTATTGTCATTGCTATTGAGAATGCAGTGGCTTAAACATTCAATGCAAAGAATAAAAAGATAAGGAGAGAGATTATCTCCTTATCGAATGCCTCTAGAAGGTTTGAATTCTTTAGTTAGTTTACCATTCTAGAGCACTTGCATCTTTGTAGTTGAGATGGAGGCATGTATTAATTTCCTAATATGAGTATCAATCTTGACAGATTTGAGAGTATTATCAATGAATTCAAGGACATTCTATCAAAAGCCTTCTTAAGATTTATCTTCAGTGCCGTGAAGCCTTTTTTGCTCGTTTTATTTCTCATAGAATAAATAATCTCTCGTGCAATTATAATATTATCACTACATTGCCTACCTTAAATGAAGCTGCAATGATTATCGCTAATAAGATTAGGCATACAAGCACAGAGCTGATTGGAAATAATTTTGGTGATAATTTTATAACTCATGTTACATAAAGATATAAGGTAAAAGTCCTTCATACAAGTAGGATGGTCAATCTTAAGGGTCAGCATGATGAATGTATCATTTATTTCTTTAATAGAGTTAGGGTTTCTAAAGACCCTTTTGACAAGATTTATAATGCCATGCTTTAGATCCTCCTAATAGGAAATGAAACCCTCGTTGATGCCATCAAGGCCTGGAGCTGTAAAGGCCCTAGTGTCAAAACAGCATTCTTGATTTCATCATTAGTCATATCTTTGTGTAAGACTTGCTATCAAAGGTAAGAAAGAGTAGGAAAACTTCTTTTAGATGTAAGTTTAGGTTTAATGTTCTTTCTTGTTTGAAAAAGTCTTCGAAGTAGGAAACAATTATGTTTTTCAAGAATGCTTTGGTTCTAGATCCAAGTATCATCATTCTCTTTAAGAGATAAAATCTAGCTTCCTAATAATAGACGTGGCATGGAAGAACTTAGTGTTTTGATCTCCCCTTAATAATCATTTACATTTAGATTTCTGGAATCAGATCAACTCTTCTTGCATAAAGACCTTGTTATAATCTTCGTAAAGAGACTTTTCAAGCTTTCTTCCCAAGATTTTGGAATGAGGATGTTGTGTGTCTTAGATAATATAATTTGACAGTTCAACACAAATAGTTAGATTTCTTGTGTTTATTGTTTTCTAACATCCTTAAAGTTTCCCTTTCCCTTACAGATTTGGTGTTGGTGAGCACAGGCATCTTTATCAGATAGACCATTTGAGTCATGCTAGGTGGGATGGGATGCGTGTTTTGATTGATGAGTTAAGCTAATCCATGTAGATTTATTAGTTTATTTAAAGGAGAATCACATGCGATTGCTTTAGAAAATTATTCATAGATAAAGACTAACAACAAATTTCATTCGAAAAAATCAAGTCACGTTTGCATTGTAATAACAATCCATTTTGTATTAGTCCTTGTTTATAAATAATTTCTTGACCTGTCCTTAAAAGATGATTTTCCCTTATTTAAATTAGAAGTAAGAAGTTGTTAGACAAGTAGCCAATGTTAATTCTCCAAGTCAAATATAGAAAGATTATTTTGAAGTTTTGTATATAAATTAGGTAATACCTAATGGTCCATTTTATAGGACTTTGTTAATTGTTTTCATGACATTAAGTAAACTAATTAAAAATAACAAATGAAAAAATATTTATGATTTTTCAAAATCACCCTTTCATTAGTATATCAAAGACGCATCAAAACCAAATTCTTGCACCAACAATTAGGGCCAGCCCAACTTTTGGGCTTCAAACGATATGATGCACGCAAATTCTTACATGCTGATAAGGTCAGTCTTATTTTGAACTTCAAATATGTGTGTAAATAAGATAAGATGAAGTAAGTAATAATTATCCAATTTTAAATTTTTTTAGAGGTTGATATAGTTGGTGATTCCAAGTATTTGGTAAGATTGGACCAATGCACGGCCACGGGAACAAGTGGAACAATCACAGCATATTAATTCTTTATTGGCTCGCGAGGCTTAGAGAAAGGTCTAACAGATGATATCATAACTTGGCTCTTGGTATATAATGGAGTCGATTTGTTCGATAACATGATGGAGAAAATGTGTGCAACCAAGTACATTAGGTGTTATAGGAAAATAAAATCTAATAACTACTAAATCCTAATTTTAAGGGTGAAATTATCGGGACCAATGGCCCATTCTGTAGATTATATTCAACTTAGACCAATCACCAATGTATTCATTATTCAATTCCTTTCTCTATTTAGTGCAAAACAATACTTTTACTATTCATGTAAATAATATAATCAAAATCATTTATTCTCCTTCAGAATAAAAACTTAATTTTAAAATTAAGAATAAATAATAAAAAATATAATACATATTAAGTTTCAAGATTATATATGAATATTTGAGATGCATCATGTATCCATCAAATTAACCCTTTTTAAGAAA